CTTCAACAGCAGGAACAAGGTTTAGAATAACACACAGTCTCTTCCTCTTAAGTGTGCCATACACATTTTATTGGAAACAGACAAATACAAAAACCACCACCACCCAAGTGTTCACTGGGGGCAGTCAGCATGCCACTCCCACTCCCATCAAAGTGCTGATGTAGCAGAAGTCAGGGTTCTGGTCAATACAGAAGTATCATTTCACTAGCATCTGCTCCTTCCATAATTGAAGGGACTGTGTCAATAGAAATTTGACATCACGGCGTTGGATTGTGATGTGACCCTTGTGAAAATCTGCAGTGGCCCCTGTGGATTTAGGGGTAGATTCTGATCTCAGCAACATTAGTATAAATCTGTAGAGCCCTGGAAATCTGAAAATATCCGCCGGAAAAGCATCCACGGACATGAATTCAGATATCCACAGCTCATTTTTGCAGACACAAATGCAGATGCGGATACAAAATTTTGTATCCACGCAGGGCTTTATATATCTGGAGCGGTTCCACTGCCAGCAATGGAACCACAACTGAACTGTGATCTCAGTGACCACAGTGTAAATCCAAAGGCACCTCATGCACTGAAGTCAGGCTTGGTTTAAATTCAGAGTAATCCTGTTGACTTTTCTGGAGTCCCTCTGGATTTACTCTGGTGTGAGATCAGAATTGGGTTCCTTGAATTACTGGGTTTATGTGTGAAAAACCCATGACAACAGAATTGAGAGTAATTCACTAGCATGGATAAAAAAAATATAGGTCAGGACCTTTATGTGTTATCCAGCAATCGAGCATGGCTCTAGAATAGATCTTAAAGGAACACAGACCAGAATTTCGCTAGCAAGATTCATCAGAATCTAGCCCGGACATCAGTGGGCTCACTCTGGATTTACACCAAGGAGGCACACCAAGATCAGAATCCCACCCTGACTCCACTGGCATCAGAGAGCTTGCACTGGATTTATACTGAGGTCATGAGATCAGAATCTGCCCTCAGTACTGATGCGGTCAGTAGTTGCAGACACTGATCTATATTAGAGACTCCACATCTTTTCATCTTGTCTCCTTGTAATATTTTCCAGGAACCCTGGCTCCATCCACCATGATCAAGATAGACAGAATGCTCCAGCATATTCCCTCAAGGACTGTGTCACAGGGCAGTTGGGCCCTGTGGATAGGCTAAGTCCAGTGCCCGTGGACCAGAGCAATCTGCCTAATTAAAGAGGGCTAGGTTATACCTGGGTCAATGAAGGATTCTGTGTAGGTGACTAGAGGAAGGAAGGATCGAGACAAGCTGAGTCCTATGGAGGGAAAGCCACACAGGAATGAAACTAGTTCCTGTGTTGGGTCCTTGGAGCAACAGGCTGGGGGCTCACGGGAGAGGACTTCCACTATATAAATCTATGGCCTGCTCACACCTTGAATACTGCATGCAGTTGTCACAAGTCAAAGAGATATATTAGAAATGGAAAAGTTACAGAGAAGGGCCCCACAAATGACTCATGGTATGGAATAGTTTCCAGAGGAGAAGAGATTAAAAAAACTTGGGACTGTTCAGGTTGGAAAAGAGATGACTATGGGAGATTTCATGACAGAAATCTATACAATCAAGAATGATTTGGAGAAAATGAGTAAGGAAGAGTTACTGACCCCTTCACATAACCTAAGAACCAGGAGTCATCGGATGAAATTAATAGGCAGCAGATTTTAAACAAACACAAGGAAGAACTTCTACACACTGGAGAGTTGATCTGTGGAACTCATTGCTAGAGCATGTTGTGATGGCCAAAATTATCACAGGGTTAAAAAAGAATTAGGTAAATTCAGGCAGAACAGGTCATCAATGGCTATTAGCCAAGGTGGTCAGGGATGCAACCCCATGCTTTGAGGGTACATCTAAACTACAGGCTTTTGTCGACAGAAGTTTTGTCGACAGATACTGTCGACAAAGCTTCTGTTGACAAAGAGCGTTGAGACTACACCCAGTTCTGCTGACAAAGCAAGCCGCTTTGTCGACATGAGAGTGGAGACACAAAGGACAGCGTAGCTGCAATAACACTTTGTCAACAGAACTCTGTCGACAAAAGGCATTATTCCTCATAGAACGAGGTTTACAGCTGTTGACAAAACTGCTGAGTTCTGTCGACGTTATGTTGACAGAACTCGGCGGCAGTGTAGATGCAGGTATAGTTTTGTTAACAAAACCTTGTAGTCTAGGCACACCCTGACTGTCCCTAAACTTATGACTGCCAGAGGCTGGGACTGGATCACATGGATCACTTGATAATTGCCGTTCTGTTCTTTCCCTTTGAAACCCCTAGAACTGGCCACTGTCAGATGGCAGGACACTGGGCCAGCTGGACTGTAGATCTACGTAGAGCTGGCTGAAACAGGGAAGCTGCTAGATGCAGCAGTGCTCGAGACCCAGGGAGGGGTGGTTCTGAAGCCCAGGGCCAACGACTGAGTTACAGCTGTTTTCTGCTTTGTATGCTAATCTCTGCAAAAGAAATCAACTCCTTGAAAAGACTGGGCATGGCAAAGCATCCTTTGGAGCTGGGGAAAACACTGGCCTGGTGACATGTGATACCAGAACTGGCAGTAAGTGACATGCAGGTGAACTCCTATCTAGCGGTAAAATCTTCCATCCTGGACAGAGGTGCCAACAGTCATGTTGGGACCCTGGACAAGGTGGGGCGGGGAGCAGGCTCTGTGCTCTCGGAAGGGGCGCAGTCTTAGGAGTAGAGGGCAGAGCAGATGAGCCCAATCCAGCTAATGAAAGAGAGCTGGGCTACATCTGGGCCAATAAAGGGCTGCTGGTAGGAGGAAGGAATGCCACACTGGAGTGGAGTTAGCCCTGTGATGGGTCCCAGGAGCAAGGGTCCAGGAGCTCAGGGAAGCAGCCCTGTAGCTGCTGCACCAGGCAGGGAGTAGAGCTGGCTGAAACTGGGAACTTGCCAGGAGCAGCAGTAGCTGAGACCATGGGGATGGGTGTCCCTGAAAGGTAAGGATGGAGTTAAGACAGTGTCCTGTTTTGTGTGTTAACCTGAGAAAGCAAGAAGCCTCCCAGTTCCTGAACAAGCCTTGAACCAGGTAACTTTTTCCGATGTGTCGGTGAGGCTGTGACACACAAGAACACTAGTAAATACCTCTAGGATTGACATGCATGCCTCAGTGTATGGTACACAAGGAAACTGCCAGGGTATGTCTACACATCAAAGTTAATTTGAAATAACAGCCATTATTTTTGGTAAACTTCATTCTATGAGAAGTAATGCCAAATTCAAAATAGCTATTTCCAATTAAGTGCTATGTAGTCACATAATTTGAAATAGGGGGCCTCCAGCCCTTCCCAGGGAGCCCTGGTGGCCACTCTGGGCACAATCAGGAAAACGTACTCTCCTCCCCCCAGCCCCGGAGCCATTAAAGGGGTCGACCCTGGCCACAGTGCCTGTGCCAGTTCCAAGCCTGCCAGCCCAGCAAAACCAGGCCCCCCCCAGCCACTGCCAGCCAGCCCTCCACCGCTCCCCAGGAGCAGTCTGCCAGCTACCAGGAGCCTGACAGGTGCTGGAGAAATCGGGTGCCTTCCTGGTCCAGGGTGGAGATCATGGACCTTATTCAGGTTTGGGGGGATGCCCCCAACATCCATGATCTCCACACTACACAGAGGAATGCAGCCTCTATGGCAGGATAGCTGCCAACCTGGCCACCAAAGGCCACATGAGAACTCAGGAGCAGGTTTGCATGAAAATCAAGTTGGTTCGGCAAGACCCCCAATCCTGGACCCTGAGCTTCCCCTCCCCTTTCTTCCCCTTGCTTCCCCCTTCTAGCTCCCTCCTCCCAGGTTTCCCCCTCCCCTCTCCCGCCTCCTTTTCCCAGTCTCCCCAGAGGTTCATCCCCCCCCCCCCCCCCTCAGTTTTGTCCAGCTCCCTCCTCCCAGGTTTCTCCCTCCCCTCTCCCACCCTCTCCATTCCCTTCTCCCATCTCCTTTTCCTAGTCTCCCCAGAAGTTCACCCCCCCAGTTTTGTTCAATAAACCCAATTTCTATTTTTGAACATATGTGTCTTTTGTTTGACATCAGGAAGGGGGGCTAAGGAGGGGTAAGTGGAATGACGTGAGGGAGGAATGGGGCATGAGTCCCCGGTTGGGAGGACCGGGGCGGTTCTGAGGGCTCCTCGGGGTGGAAGCTCTCCTGCAGGGCCTCCTGGATCCTGACAGCCCCCTAATGGATCCCCCCAGATGGCAGCCTGCAGCAAGTGCAGCTGGGCTGATGGCAACGACCCCACGAGATGCACCAGCGTGCCCAGGGGCAGCTCTGGCTCCATGTGGCTGAGTGCTGTGGCGTCCCAAGTGCGGACACTCAGGGCACTCCAAGACAGGACTGCTTTGCTGTCCCTCATTGAGGTAGACAAGCAAGTGGGGGAACCCTGAGAACTGTCTGTCGGGGGTGGGGGTAGGGTCCCTTTAAGCATGGAGCTCAGTTAGTCTCAGGCAGCAGCCCCACACACTAAGTCCTAACCTGATGCCCTGCTGGCACTGGTTCCAGCCAGCCTTAATTTTGGTTCAGGGTCCACTGAGTGTGGACGTGCTGCTTCAAAATAGGTTTTGTGTGTAGATGCGTTAATTCGAATTAACTTCGAAATAGCTTAATTCGAATTAACTAACTCGAATTAATGCTGTTGCGTAGACATACCTCCAGAGAGTCCCCTACTGTCATGCTAATTTCCCTCTTTCCAGAGCTGTCTCCCATACAGGACATGTATGTTTCATCCTGAGTTGAGCCCATCACATCATTGCCCACCCCCTCAAAAGTCCCCTCCCAGCCACTGGGCAGCATCTGCTTGGTGTGGACCCTCTGGTGCTTCGTGAGGGCGGAGCTGTCTCGGAAGTCCTTCCCACAGTCCGTGCACTTGTAGGGCCGCTCGCCCGTGTGGGTGCGCCAGTGCTTGTTCAGCTTGGAGCTGTCCACGAAGCACTTGCCGCACTCGGTGCACTGGTAGGGCCGCTCACCGCGGTGGATGCGCCTGTGCTGCATGAGCGAGGAGCTCTGGTTGAAGGTCTTGCCACACTCGGGGCAGCTGTAGGGCCTCTCCCCGGTGTGAATGCGCCGGTGCTTGATGAGGTTGGAGCTCTGGCTGAAGCTTTTCCCGCAGTGGTTGCAGCTGTAGGGCTTCTCCCCGGTGTGGATGCGCCGGTGCTGGCTCAGGTTGGAGCTGCTGCTGAAGCTTTTGCCGCACTCAGCGCAGCTGTAGGGCTTCTCGCCCGTGTGGGTGCGGACGTGCTGGGCGAAGGAGCCCAGGCTGAAACTCCTCCCGCACTCACTGCAGATAAAGGGCTGCTCCCCGATGTGGGTGCGGAAATGCTTCACCAGGGTGTAATTGCGGTTGAAGCTCTTCCCGCACTCGGTGCACTGGTAGGGCCGCTCGCCTCTGGTAGGGCGCTCACCAGTGTGGATGCGCTGGTGATCGATTAGGTTGTAGCTGAGAACAAAGCTCTTCCCACACTCGCTGCACTTGTAGGGCTTCTGGCCCGTGTGGATGCGCTGGTGCTGGACCAGGTGGGAGCTTTGTCGGAAGCTCTTCTCGCAGTCTGAGCAGCTGTAGGGGCGCAACTTGCACTGGGCTTGGCTGGGCTCTGTCGCCACCCTGACGTGCATCTCCTTCGGTGACATCGCCTCTGTCCCCAGCTGCTGTCCAGCCCTGCTGGCCTCTCCCCACTCGGTGCTCCGGGACATCCCATGCAGCTCTGCTCCTTCAGGCTCTTCCTGTGCAGGATTCTCCTTCTCCATCCTGGCACCTTTTGCGAGAGAGAGACACACTGCAGACAGGGCCTGTTCCGTGTGCCAGAGAGACGGGACAGCAAAGGGAGTTTGTCACTGACAGGCAGGAAGCAAATCCCCACGGGCTGATTCTGCCCCCAGCAGCCCCGCTGAGCCTTGAGAGAGCTTGGGGGAGGAGAAGGCTCCTCCCAAGGGCCAGGGTGGGTGGGCTCCAGGTGGTTTTGCTGGGATCCCCTCATTGCCCTATAACCTAAATCCTTTGATGCCAGTTGTGGCACGTCAGGGCCCCCCAGCTTTGTGGCTGGCTGATGCTCAGGGCGGGGTTCCCTGGCCAGGGTTTGGCATGGTACTGCACTAGCTGAGCGGAAGGGGCTCTTCTGACCTTCCCAATCCATGGCTCAGGCGTGGCATCCTGGGGGGCTGCCTCTTAGTCCATGAAGAGTCCCCAAGCCCACTCCTATGTCACCGGTGCCAGGTCACCTCTGCCAGTAAGGACCAGGCTGTTCCTGACCTAGGTGCCCTGAGGATGCAGCCCCTGTTCCCCTAGTGCCAGGCACAGACAAGAAATGCTGCCTGCAAAGGGCAGGGGGGGGGGGGAGGAAATCCTGAT